GGTTCGGTGTTTTAGCTCAGTTCCCCATCTGCCTCTACCTCCTCCTGATTATCCTATCTTGTCATCCTCTCCTCTCCTCCTCCTCCTCCTCCTCCTCCCTAGCCTCCTTCTGCCCTTACCATCCTTCCTTTCCTCCTCCACTTCACGTCCTCTGCCCTCTCTCCCTATGCCTCATACTCATTCTCCTCATGATCCTCATCGTCCACTTTCTCTTGATATTCACCCTCGCAGGTATAGCCACGTGCCACCACAAGTGTTTGTCTTGTTTCAACCTCGCATCAGCTTTTTGCTCATTGATCCCGCCGACCAGATCTTGAGACCTAAAAGTATACTATTATAGTGGCCCTTCAACCGTTGGCGCCACCGACTCATTTGTCTTATCATCCTGCCCTCCGTCCTCGCCCTTCTCATTATCACGTGTCCTCTTCCTACCATCTCTTCTGTCTGTTTTCTTCCACTTGGAACATGCATCCTCGTCCTTGGCTGCCTGAAGGAGGTAGTCTCCAGCCCGGAGTTCCGTCTCTTCATGCAGACGAAGTTGTCGAATCCGCACTACCAGCCGGAGGTCCAGGCCGAGTGCACGGTCATCAATTTCACCGTTACCGAGACTGGACTTGAGGCCCACATTCGCAATTCAGCCCCTCAGTGATGTCTGCTGTCCTTGATTCAATATTTAATGTGGTTTGTAGCCCCCCATACTGCCGTTCCTCGTCGAGGGGTATGTTTCGCTTGATTGTTGCAAGTTCGGATGGCAGTGAAAAGTGCTCCATATGGAAATTTGCGCAAGAAGCTGCCAGTGGTTTTCCAGTGCCCAACTAGACGTACGATCCGTTCCAAAGAAAGGAGGACAACCATGACAAGGGACCCAGGGCGGGTGCTGTGACGGGTTGGTTGCAAAATGAGTGCCACGCCAGCCTTGGATGTGCGAGTGCTCCACCAGATCGATCATGTGATGCACATGGCCAGTTTCTCTCCCTCGGTGCATGTATGCCCATTTGCCTTGTTCTCGTGCTCTCTCCTTTTGTTTATATTATATCTCTCTCTCTCTGTCGCTCCTCCTTCCCCTCTATATATCCTCTCTCTCTCTCTTTCTTTTGATGTGTATATATTATATATGTGCACAGGCAAATTCCACACTTGTCCGTAAGTGATGCCGTGCGCTCTGTGCCACTTTACCGTCGGAATGTTGACTGTACGTAGCCACCAACCCAGGTGTGTCGTGCTCCGCCGACTGCTCATGCGAACCACTCTCTATCCACATGAGGCGTTCCAAAAAGGATCCTGCCTCCGCGGAGCCAGGGAGTTGCCGCCTCTTCCGCGGCGGACGGCGGAGGAAGGCGGCGGAAGTAAAACGGTGGCGGCTCCGCTGGCGGAAGCTCGGCGGAAGCTGGCGGAAGCAGAAGTCGACCTCCCAAGAGGTGACGACATGCTTGGGTTCAGGGTTTCCGAAGGCCGCCACGTATACCCCGACTCCCCTGCACGGTGACTCGATCTGAGTAATAACTCTCCTCTCTTCCTTGACTCCGTCCAGAAGGTTTTTTTTTGCACCTCCGCATGGGCGTGTGTCCGTGTCGGTATGGGGGCGACAGGATGGGGGCGCGGCGCGCACCGTGCCACCTCGGCGCCGCGCGGAGTTAAAAGTTGAGCTCTCTCTCTCTCTCTCTCTCTTGGGCGCAGCGCCCCCTTTGCGCTCGGTCGGCGGATCCCTTTCCGCCCGCTTCGCGCACCTTTTTTTTGCACATGTGATTGGGCTGTGGCCTCGCTCGGACGTGCGCATCTCTTCTCGGCAGGGACCCTCGGGGAGCATGTGAGGTCGTCTTGCGCGAAAGACGTGCGCGCGCGCGCGACGGCGGAACAATGCACGGGGAACGGACGTCCGAGGGGCAGGAGGAGGGGGAGGAGGAGGAGGAGGAGGAGGAGGAGGAGGAGGAGGAGGAGGAGGAGGAGGAGGAGGTGGAGGAGGAGGAGGAGGAGGAGGAGGAGGGAGGAGGAGGGAGGAGGAGGAGGAGGAGGAGGAGGAGGAGGAGGAGGAGGAGGAGGAGGAGGAGGAGGAGGAGGAGGAGGGGGAGGAGGAGGAGGGAGGAGGAGGAGGAGGAGGAGGAGGAGGAGGAGGAGGAGGAGGAGGGGGGGGAGGAGAGAAGAGAAACGAGTATGAGGAACTTCCAGTCGGAAAATAATGCTTCTCATGTGTTTGCTGCGATGCGACTGTTCCTGGTGCTCCAGAGTGGGGATCCAGCTGCGGCGCGGGTCTCGTTCTCGAATCGGCGCCCTGCCCCCCGTCGTTCAGCATGGCCCTCTCGCCCCGGCGCGGGCCACCTTTTCTGGATCCGAGTCCGGTGTCCACCTGTTGTCGCCCCCCTCCTGTCCCGTCGTCCGCCTTCCTCTGGTCCTCCTGCTCCGCCCGCTGCTGCCGCTCCAGTTCCTGCTGCTGTTCGTCCTCGTCCTCCCCCCCCCCCTCCTCCTCCTCCTCCTCCTCCTCCTCCTCCTCCTCCTCCTCCTTTTTCCTCCTGCTCGTCCTCCTGCTCACCGGCCACCTCTTCCTTCCATGTGTGCAGGTCCCTCTTTCCGGTTCCGCATTGAGTTCCAGGTTGGCTATGACCCGCGTCCGCGGATAGATAAACATTCAGTATATTGGGAAGGGATGGGAAGGAGGGATCGGATACCAAACATGGCGCAAGCGCACCTAATTAGATATGTGTTTATTTATTTGTCTCTCTCTCTCTCTCTCTTTTCCCCATATATGGTGTATACATATATATACACCTTACCTCTCTCTCTCTCTCTCCCTCTCTCCCCATCTCTCTCTATACATAGATGGTAATTTCTCTGTTTCTCCCTCCCTCTGTCTCTTTCTCGTTTGTTTTTGTTTGTTTCTCTCTCTATAAATATACATGTGTATATATATATATATAGATATATGTGTTTATGTATTGTTGTTATGTGTTGTGTGTCTCTCTCTCTCTATGTATACATATATATATATGTGTTGAGATATCTCTCCCTCTATTTCTCTCTGTTCCCCCTCTTCCCCATCTCTCTCTCTCTCTCTTCTTCTTAACCCGCCAGTCTCTCTTTCTCTCTTTCTCGACATGCTGTCCTCTATCTCGTCCTCTCCCTCGTCGTTATCTCCCTCACTCTCTATCCCTCTCGTTTTCCATCTCACTCTCTCTCTCTCTCTTTCTCTCTCTCTCTATCCCCCCCCACCCCGCGCTTTCTCTCTCTCTCTCGCACTTCCCTTCTATCCCTTTATAGATCCATGTAAAACATCGACAGAGAGATATGTATATACATATATACACATGTGTGTGTTCCTTTTCGATATCTCTCTCGCTTTATCAAACAAGAAAACAACACATCTCTCTCTCTGGTATACATGTGTATGTTCCCTTGTTTTTGCCTCTCCCTCTCTCCTTCGAAAAATTGATATGCATACAGCCGGGCCGAGGTATAAGATCGAGGTCAGTTCGTGTAGGGTGCCCTAGTGTCCTTCGTGTTTGTTGGATGTTAGTGTGCATCCTGGGGAGGTTTCCCTTGGATGTTCTGTTTGTTTTGGCCGACGGAAGATCGCGTGTCTTTGAAGGATTTCATCATGGCCTAGGTCCGACTGGTAGCACCGGTGCGAACCCTAATCTTGTTGTTCGGGCTCATCTTTTCGAAACCATGCCAATGATGGAAGTCCGTGCGCAGACGCACGCAGGCCTGGCCTGGACAGACACCCAGCACAGCACCTGACTCTGCGCGCACTCTCCTCACGCTGCAGCCGCTGGTAGCATCTCAGCACGCATCCCTCGACTACGCACCCGCGCTGCTGTTCCCTGTGGCGCGGAATCTGGTCTCGTTTCTTCCATTTCGTCGGCAACTCCATCGCGGCAGCAGTGCGCCTTGCGGTCCGCGTCCGCTTCTCGTTCCGCCCCCTCGCTTCGCAGGGTGCCTCGCCTCCTCCCTCTCCTCCTCCTCCTCCTCCTCCTCGCCCTCCTCCTCCTCCTCCTCCTCGCCCTCCTCCTCCTTCTCCACAATTACTCAACAGTTACTCAATATGAATACTACTCTCCCTCTTCCCCTGATGGCGTGGTGGGAGTAGCCGACCCCCCCCCGCGTACTGTTTTTTTTGCACAGGATTCCCGGGAGTTGGGTTTTCGCTTGCGTTTTTTTCAAAATGCTGCTCTCGCTGAGGCGCCGGCCTCATTTTCGGGCCCCGCTCGTTCCGAATCGTGCTCCTGCTGCAGCGCTGGCCTCATTTCCGTGCTTCCGCTCGTTCCGAATCGTGCTCCCGCTGCAGCGTTGGCCTCATTTCCGCGCTTCCGCTCGTTTCGACTCCTGCTCCCGCTGCAGCGCTGGCGTCATTTCCCGTGCCATGCCACGGCATGCACTGCAATGCTAGGTTGATACTGCGCTTTGCGGTGCTCCTCTACGCCATGCCATGCCGTGCTCTACAATGCATCGCGTACCCATCATTGCCCTGCTCGACATCCGACTGAGCGAGTAGAGAGGGGATTTGCGCCATGGTAAGGGATGGGAGGGAGGGGTAGGATGTCAGATATGACGCGAGCGCACCTAGCTTGTCCCCCTCCCCCTCCCCCACTTGCCCTGTCTGTGCCCTTTTCCTTCTCCTCCTCGAGGAGCAGCTGCTCTTCTTGGTTGTGAAGCTGGAGCGTCCAGACCTCGCCCGGCAAAAGTCGGACGTGATCCAGCAGCAGAACGAGTTCAAGGCCAGCTTGGGGATGGGAGAGCAAGAAGAAGAAATGTGGCAAGGATCACATCAAGGAAGAGGGTTGGGCCTTACAATATTCATTGGGCTTACCCCGCGTCCGCCGCCCTCCCCCTCTTGAGTGCGAACTACCGTGCGGTTGTGGTCTTTGTGGTTGAAAGCTGTGCGACCATTCGGGGCTCATGAGGGGCTCGTGTTGACGAGAAGTCTTGTAGATCGAGGTCTTGGGAACTATTCGTTGCCGAGGCTAGCCGTCACTTGAAATGCGATTGTGTTACTCTTTCAGTGTTCTTTGTGGTCGCACGATTGGGGTGTGGTTGTGCTGGTGGTTGCGCTGGTGACTATGCTGGTCGTTACCCTAGTTGTTGTCCTCGTGATTATGGTGGCAATTGTGCGGGTGATTTTCTTTTGTTTTTAATAAAAAATGTCGGGACTGATGCCGAGCCTACTGAGATTCGTGGTGATAGTTCTGTTTGTGATTCTACACTGCGGTGCTGTCCATCATATTACTGCCGGTTGTGCTGGACATCTCTGCTTGACATTTGTGGTTTTTTGTTGTTGGCTTGACGGTTGTGAGAGCATTTGTGGTAGGTGCTGGTACATGTGTATAGGTAGCGGTGCATGGTCTTTGCGTTGTTTGGGCTGGGTTTTCTCAGAGGTTCTCCGGAGGTTTTCCAGAGCACTTGGGGGCCTGCTTGGGGTCTCATGGCTGGACCTTCGCAGGCGCGATTGTTCTACCGAGATTTCCAAAATCTCCTCGGTTGAGCCAGCCTCGATTGGACGGGCTTGGATCTGTTGTGGGCCCCTTGTTGGCGCGGGAGTGGGCCGTCTTCAAGATTCTCGTCTCGGGCTGCGGGCTTTTGACGGGCCCTCCTAGGGCCGTCTTACATCAGCGCTCCGGGAGTGTGTTGCACGGCGCTGCATGGACGTTGCGCAACGTCGATTCTGCAACCTCGCTGCGATCGAGGAGGCTGCGGGAATGCCAATGCAGCCGCGTCACCTGGCGGCCTCCCGAACGTACATCCCTCGGCCTCGCGAGACGAATCCGAATATATGGCTTTCGATTGCGCACCAAACGTTTTGCTTATTTCAGGTTGGCGCTTGCGATCTGGTTTTGGGAACGCACCTCCGAGGGTGCCGCAGCAACGCAGAACTCCCAACGCGTCCGCTCACTTTGGAGTGACCAGGTTTTTGTTCGTCCCCTGTGACTGGGTGAACATGCAGTTTGGTTATTATTTGGGTCCCTTCCAGACGACCCCAGTGGTATTGATGCCCAGCGGCCAAGTGTGTCATGTCGCTGCGTCTACCTTCATCCCCATTGCCACCCCCTGCCCCGACTCCCATCCGCCACCCCGGCTAGGGGCGCGCACGCGGGTCGCGGGCGGCACGCGGCCACCAGAATCAGGCCAAATTTCGCAGCAGCGCACTAGGCCGTCGTGGGTCTTCTTCAAGCGGTGTTAAACTGGCCCGAGGAGCTTTCAAGCGTAAGATCACCAAAAGCTGTGGCAACTTAACTTCTTCGGGATGTTGAAGGTTTGGAGCCTCGCAGGGCCTCGCTGGAGACCAGTGGTCCCCCAATCAGTGCCTGCACTGGAGGGACCCTAGCGGATCTGACAGAATTTCGCCAAAGTTGGCGGCCGATTTCGGTGGGCGGCCGGGTTCCCGGGTTCCCAGGTTCCCGATTGCTGGTTTTGGGCCGATTTCGGTAGGCGGCGGGGTTTCTGGGCTTCCGGGTTCCCAGGTTCCTGGCCGATCTCTTATCGATCGGTCTTACCATCGATCTCATTACCCACCTCTCCATCGATCTCATGTTCGACCGCGCAATCGATCTCGCTAACGAAGCCACACATCGATCTCACTATAGATCGCACGAGCAATCTCACGATCGATCTCATTATCAATTTCACTGAGTCGACTTCACTCTCGGTAGCACGATCGACCTTAGTATCGTCCTCACCCTCGATCCCACAATTGATTTCACGATTGATCTCACAGTCGATCTTAACCAGATCACTAATTTTCAAACCATCCACTGATAGGTCTTTCTCTCTGATTCAAATTTGCTCGGGAGCCCCCTGGGGCCTCTTGGCGACATGTAGGAGACGTGTAGGGGCCTTTGGGGGGCCCTTGATCCGACCCCTTTTTCCCTCCCCACCCTTCCCCCCGCTCCCCCCTATCCTCCCCCTTCGTCCTCCATCCGCCCTCCTGCCCCTCCTCATCCCGCCCTCATCCACTCCATCCTGTTCTCTCCATCCCCTTGGCCCGCCCACCCGACGAATCTTGGGGGGGACAGGTCCGGTTGGCCGAGCTTGAGGCCCATCTTCTGGAGAAGCTCTCCAGCGCCGAGGGCGACATCCTCGAGGAGCGAGGGGGAGGGCGGGGAGGCCAGGGAGACGCAGAAGGGGGGAGGGAGGGCGGCAGGCAGGCGCCGGAGGAACAGGGGGCGTGAGGCAAGAGAGGGGGAGGGACGGATTGGGGCGAGGGATTTGGATTGCGCTCTGATTCGCCCAGGAGACGGTCAGCTCAGTGGGGCGGGGGGGGGAGGGAGGGGCGACTGGGGCAGGGTGGACCGGGGGGACGGAGCGATGATCGGGAGTGGAGGTTTTGTGTGCTCCTCCAGTGAACGCCGCCGGTGCCACCTGTCGGATGGGGGCGTGTGCCCTTGTACATCTATTCTCGTGGGAGGGAGGGAGGGAGGGAGGGCGAGAGGGAGGGACGATCTCCAGAAGGGCTATACTGAGGGCAGGAGGAGGACAGAGAAGGAGCGGAGGAGAGGGGTGGGCAGGCCGTGGGGGGAGCGAGGAGGGAGGGCCGAGGTGGGAGGACACCGGGAGGAGGCGGGCGTGGAGTGAGGCGGAGGAGAGGGAGTAGAGGATAGTCGAGGGATACTGTCCAGTGCCGTTTTTAATACATGCTCCGCGTGCGGATCATGTATTAAGAAGTGATGCATGCATTAATTATGTATTAAAAACCGTGTATTGTTAAACAATCCCATGTGTTAAAAACTGCCCTGTGGGATGACCAGAAGATGGGGGAGGGAGGGAGGGACGACCTGTGAGATGGAGGGAGGTGGGAGGGGGGGGGGCGGGAGGGCGGAATGGCAGGGCGGAAGGGCCGAGGGGAAAGAGGGGAAAGGGAGGGAGGGGGGAAGGGACTGGATGGAGGGGGGGAAAGGAAAGGGAGGGATAGTGGACATTCGGAACGGGGAAGGGAGAAAGTGGTAGACGGGGGATTCAGAGGGGACGGGATCGGGGCAGCCGTCCAGCTTCGGCTTCTACGTGAACTTCGAAGCAACGGAAGCGCGACGCGAGGAGCGACAGTGTCAGAGAGAGCGACGGGAGAAGGAGAAGGGAGGGGAGGGCGCGGCGGGAGGTGGTGGGGCGAAAGAGGGGAGGCTGGGCGGGCAAGAAGAAGGAGGTGCGAAGGAGGGATGGATCAGGAGGGAGGAGGCAGGTAGGCAGGTGTCAAAAGAAGGAAACAGGGGGAACGCAGGATGTAGGTCGGCAAGGGGAACAGGGGGAATGGAGGAACAGGAACACATGGTACGATACCGATACCTACCTACATCCTACATACATTCATACATACAGCCGTACCCACACGTACAAGCATGCGTACATGCATGCATGCATACATGCATGTATGCACGCAGACATACATACGTACGCACATACTAACATACATACATACATATAATCATGCGTTCTCGTGTTACACGGATTTTCAATCATACATACGCGCATGCATGCATATATACACACTTACACATATACCTATGCATACATACACACATGTACACACACCACACTTGCCTGTCGACCTACCTATCTACACACAACGTACAGACATGCACGCAGACATACACACATACGAGCACACAATCATGCATCTATGACTTACAGACATACACTCATACATACATACGAAGATGCACATGCGTACATACATACATGCATGCATGCATGTATGCACACATACATGCATGCATGCATTCTGTGTAAATAGAAGTACTCATTCACATACACATGCATACTCACGCGTGTGCATACGTACATACATGCATGCATGCACATATGCATGCATACAGCTCCGTTCATATACAAGATATACACACGGACAAACAAACAAGCATGCATGCATATACACAAACATACGTATACCCACATACACATACTCCGATGTGTTGCGTTTACAGGGCCGGGGACCCCCACCCCACCGAACAAATATCGACCACGCCAGGCGCCCAAAAGGCCACCATGACGGCCCCGTCCAACACGGTTCCAAGACGGCCCAAGAGCGTTCCAAGAAGACGGCCTCAGATGCTTCCATGACAGCTCAAGAGACTCCCGAAACGCTAGAAAAAGGCCCCCAAGTAGCTCCAAGACGGTCCAAGAGGCCCCCCCCAAGACGCCCCGAAGAGCCCCAAGATAATGCCAAACAAGCCAACATCGTTCCACTCTTCTGGGAAATCATTCAGTTTTAACCATACTTGCTTTTAGATCTACCACGGTTTCAGAACGGTTCAAGAGGCCTCCCAAGTCGCCCCAAAACGGATCCAGAGGACCCCACACAGCTACAAAGGGCCCCAAGACAGCCCCAGAGAGCCCCACGACGGCCCACGATCGCCCCAAAACGGCCCAAGATAGTCCCGAGATGGCCCAAGACCGTCCCGAAAGACTCCCGAGCAAATCCCAAGGTAACTCCAAAAAACCCTAGCAGAGCCCCACGACAGTCATGCCCCCCCGAGACAGCCCACAAGGGTCCAAACGGTCCCAAAGGGCCCCAAGACGCTCCAGAAGGGCCTCTAAGAAAACCCGGAAGCGCTCAATAAGAGTGGCTCGCTTTTTTCTGCGTTCGTGTTTACCCCTTCTGTGCTGCCGGATTCGGACCTATTAGCTGGACCCCTGCACATGCCATAGGTTGACGCCTGTTTTCGCATGGGGCATGTCTGGCTCACCGCCACAGGGGTGGCGTTCCTCCCTGAAACAAGTTACGCCCACGCAGCCACGGTTTGGGTATGTCTTCGTCACCGATGCCGTTCGCGGTTGAGTCCAGCCCAGTGGTTGAGACGGCGCATGTCTGGAGACGCGCCTACACTCGGCCCGGACACCTCAGTCGTCAACTCGGCCCCAAGATTACGTTCGTTAAGGCGAAAGAAATAGTCACTACAGCTCCGACATTTCGTTCGTCAAGAGGAGAGGAGCCGCCAACGCTTTGTTCGTCAAGACCGAAATCGTTTTTAACCATCAGCTCGGCCCCGACGCTTTGTTCGTCAAGACGGATGGGGCGAGGGGGGTCTTCAAGGGGGTTCGTCAACTCCGAGGAAGGCCGTCACGGGGCTTCGTCACCCCAGAGGAAGGCCGTCACGGGGTCTCGTCAGAGGGGGTTCGTCAATTTGGAGGGAGGCCGTCAGGGCGTTCGTCAACCCGGAAAGAGGCCGTCAAGGGGGTTCGTCAACACGGAAGGAGGCCGCCAAGGAGGTTCGTCAATTCGGAAAGTTGACGGCCAATTCGTTTCACCAAGAGAGAGTTGACGGCACAATCTGTGAATTAAGGTGGGGTTGGCGGCACAAGCGCCGGATAGATTATGCATGGCCATCCGTCGTGACGTCCATGCTCCATGCCTACCTCCAGATCTGCCGTCCGCGACATATTCACATTCGCGGTAACGAGGTACCACGGTGGCCCCCCAAAGCATCCAGTATAACCGAACAGACACCGAAAGACCACCAGAAGCCCCAACAAGCATTCGCGAGATTTTTGGAAAGACTTCAAAGGAGGAGGCCACGCATTCAAAATTGAAAATGGTAGCAGGGATGCATTCGCAAACGACCAGGAATAATAAAGAGGAAGCATGAGAGGCAGGTGATCTACAACATATGTGTAACAAGGATGGTGACTGCAACAAGGAAGCTTCGTCATGTTGGGCATTACCTCTCTCTCTCTCTCGTCATTTCTCTCTCTCTCTCTCTCTCTCTTCTCTCGCTCTCTCTCTCTCTCGCTCTCTCACTCTCTCCCTCTCTCTTTTTTTCTCGCCTCTCTCTCTCTCTCTTTTCCGTGCCTCGCCTGCCGCCTTCAGGCCGATCCTGAAGGTCTAACGTGTATGGCGCGAAACGCCAATGCAGTCTTATACATGTATATGTATATGTATATGTATATATGTGTCTATCTACATATGTGTGTGCCGCTTGCTGACGGCCTCCGGGGGGAGCTGTGGGGGGGCTCCGCGTCCGTGTGCGGCCATCGGGAGGACGTTGAGCTCATTCAGAGCCTCGAAGACGCCAAGGCCACTTCCGACGAGGTGAAGGAGAAGGTCGCGTTCGCCCAGGACGCCCTTTTCCAGGGCATCAGCTGCAGACCGACACCAGAGCTGGCTCCCAGGGGGTTCCAGGCCCTGCAGGGCCCCTTCTTCGATGCAGGTGGTGGCGATATCTGTGGCCAAGCCGCACTTGGAGTTGCGCCTGCTTCCAGGCCCCCGATCTCTTGTCCAGTGTTCCCTCACCCAATGCCCCCCCCGTGTGCACCACGTCGTTTGGTCGGCCAAGGAATCGAGGAGCTCGGCGGAGGCACTCGGTGCGCAGGCGCTCCAGCCCCAGGTTGGGAAGCTGGGGGCGTCCCTGCGCCGAACTCCCTGGCTGGCCAGGCGGTGCGGTGCTCACCTCGAACCTCGAGCCTCGAGCCACTCCCAGCGGCGCAGAGGGCAGGGCTCGAAGCGGCCGGGGTGGGGCGCTAGGGCGGGCGCGGTGCGGTGTTGGGCTGCCCGCGGTGCCAGCTCGGGTTGCCGCGGGCGGGGAGCGCCAGGGCTGCTCGAGTGGCCCGGCCCCCAGGGAGCAGCAGGGCCACATGTCTTCGCGCACGGCCAGAGGGCGAGAATCAGCGGAGACAGCGCCGCGCAGCAGTTTGGGGGGTATATGTTTGCTCCTTGGGCGAGCGTTTCTGCCTTGATGCGTTCCCTCACTCGTTTCCGCCGCCGCCGTCCTTGTCCTCCTGCTTCTCCCTTGTTCCCCCTTCCTACCTTTTTTCCTTGCCCCTTCCTCCAACGAGTGCAGCAGTGACCGCGGAAGGACGGTGCGTCTGGGCATCTTGCACACAGACACAAAAACGGCCGCGCGTTGCCCTGGATGCGGATCCTCAGAGTTCCTGCGGGCACGCCAGAGCCACTCGCGTGGAGGGAGGTGGCGGTCTAGGTCGCGTGTTGCACGGAGTGGCTGGAGGGCGCGTGCGCCCGCTGTGTGCGCGCGGGTGGAGGGAAGGGTGAGAGCGAGGACGGGGGGAGACGGGCAGGGGAGGGAGAGGAACGGGGCACGGACTGTTCAGATTGATGGGGGCAAGGGGAAGGGGGGGGGGAGGGGCGCGGCCTCAGTGGGAAAAGGAAAAGAGGGTGTGCTGCGATGCCCCAGTCGGCTTCTTGACTGCGTGTTGGGTCGGGGCCAGCCTGGCTGCGTTGACAGGATGCTGCGATACCCCAGACGTCTCCATGACTGATTGGCGGGTGGTGGAGGACGGAGCGGAGGAGAAGCAGAAGAGGGATGCCAGGAAGGGCGTGCACGGGTCGAACAGATGCGCTGTCTGCGGCCGCCCTGTCAAAGATCTTCCGCCGCGGTTGCCCGATATCGGTGCAATGCAGGTTGCTTGAGCCTGCGGCTCGTTCCCTGCTCGAAGCAGGGAAGACGAGAGAACGTTCTTCGTATGGGCCGCTTCTGATTGCTATGGTGAGTTTACGCTCTGGGGCTCGTGGTCGTCTCTGCGACCGGCTGCACCCCTTGTTGCCGCCCAGCGTGCGGCTTGCAGCCAGCGGCGAACTGTCACCTTCCTTCTTCTCGTCAACTTCCCCCGCTCCCCTCCCCGCCACGGCCAGAAAGCACACGGGGGTCTTGCCGAGGAGGGCTCGCCTCCCGGCTGCCCTCTGGCGGCTGTCCGCGCAGCGCACACTCACCGCGCACACGCCGGGTGGACAGAGAGTGCCCACGCTCCTCGCGCCGAGACGAGGCCACGGCGAAGCGCAAAAACGGCAAAAAGAGAGCCCCCCTTCCCCGCGAACCCGAAGCTGACGGCGGTGCGGCCACGCGCGAAGGACCCGATGCGGACACCTCAGCTCTGGGCCCTGGGGCAAGCAGGGCGGGACATGGCTGCGCTGCTGCAGGATGCTGCCCAGCATCTCGCGATGTGGCGGGGGAGGAGGAGGAGGAGGAGGAGGAGGAGGAGGAGGTGGAGGAGGAGAGGAGGAGGAGGAGGAGAAGGAGGAGGCGGAGGAGGAGGAGGGGAGGAGGAGGGGGCGGAGGGAGGAGGGAGGAGGAGGAGGAGGAGGAGGAAGGAGGAGGAGGAGGAGAGGAGGAGGAGGGGAGGAGGAGTGAGGCGGAGCATCGCGTGTGGCCTTCGTGCCATGGGTGTGGACTTGTTGTACCTCTGGCCAGCGCGCGGCCGCCCTCCGCCCCCTGTCGCTCGGCTGCCTCCCCCTCCTCCTCCCCCTGCCTCTCCTCCTCCCTCCTCCCCCCCCCCTCCTCCTCCTCCTCCTCCTCCTCCCCCCTCTCCCCTCCTCCTCCTCCTCTCCCCCTCCTCCTCTCCTCCTCCTCCTCCTCCTCCTCCTCCTCCTCCTGCCTCCTCCTCCTCCTCCTCCCTCCTCTCCTCCTCCTCCTCCTCCTCCTCCCTCCTCCTCCCCCTCCTCCCTCCTACCTCCTCCTCCTCCTCCTCCTCCTCCCTCCTCCACTCCTCCTCCTCCCCCCCCTCCCCCTCCCCCGCTGAAAACCATCCCGCAGGACCTGGAGACGAGGACGCGGGTGCCCCGGCTGCGCCGAGGCAGGGAGGCGGTGGGAGAGGCGATCTCGTTCTTTGACTCGTTGCTTTGCCGATGGGCGCGGGCCCGCGCGCCCCCGCCCACCCCTTTCCAGCCTGGAACATATCCCTATCCCTATGCTGGGCACCTCCTCATCACGATGCCAATCTTAGGGATTCCCTTATTTTTTGAGGGCGAATCCGTAAGATTGTCATCGCCTTCTGGCGTGTCAATCTTAAGGATAGGGATACGTTCGAGGCTGGTAAACCGCCCATGGAGTAGATCTTGCGGCTGTCTCTGGCGCCCGCTTTTCGAGCAGGCGGGGTCTCTCTCCGCCACGGGGCGCCCTGCTGACGGCAGGCGCATGAACCAGGCAGAGGTCCGGAGCCAGCCAGACCCCCCCCCTTTTTCCTCGGGGTTGGACAGGCCTCGTGCCCTGACACGTCGATTGAGGACTTTTCCGTTTTCGGCTCGCGAGAGGGCGGCGCGGCCGTTATTTTTGCGGGTCCGGGTCCATCGGTTTCGGTCCCAGGCCGTTTTCACTAAGGGGAGGTTTACTAAAGGGAGGTTTGTCCGCCGCCGATTTCCGCCCCATGTCGAACAAAAAACGCTCAAGAAGAAAACGTTCCCGAGGGGAGCCGCGGACACTTCGCGGCGGCGGCGGCCGCAGCGTGTGTGGGTCATGCGTCGCTCGACGAGCGCAAACAATGCACGGACGTGGGGGAGGGTACTCCAGATTTCGTAATAAAAGGGAGGGGGTCTGGACCCTCCAAGACAAGCCATTGCAGACCCCCCCCGTGGGAGAACCCTCCAAAACATCGTCCCCAGACCCCCCCAGGCCCTCCAAGATAGCCTGGAAGAGACCCCCCCCCCGAAATGAGACCCCCCTCCCTTGATTACGAAATCTGGAGTACCCTTGAATGCTCTTCACTCTGGCTGGCGGAGGGTCTCACGTTCTCGAAGGGGGTTCTTCTGGCCTATAGATCCGATTGGATTCCCTCGGCGCTCCGTGCGAATGTCTCGGATCGCCGCCTGGGCCCCCCGGGCGGCGCTTCTTCTGGCGGCGCCCCGGGCGCGCTCCGCGCGCCAGGGAGAGGGGGGGGGTCGGCGCCGATCCAAGACACGCGCGCGGACCTCGGAGAAACGACTGTCATGCAGGTGCTTGTTCCACTGTTGCATGTGTCAGGCGTCGCGGGATCGGCACAGCGACATGCCAGGTGCTCAGGACGAAACGCTTTTTTTTTAGGACAGCCCTCGACAAACTGAGCCTCCACAAAGGTTGACGCCCCCCTTCGATGTCGCGCCCATTCACCACGTCAATGTCGCCACCCTTCGATGACGAGGCAGAGCGCCACGCGGGCTGAGCGGGTGTTGTGCTCGGAAGTTCTAGGATGACCGGCACTGGAGGGGGGGCGCCAACAAGTACGTGGACTTGCTCTGCCACCCAAACCCAGACAATCACATCGTTAATGAGATTGCATAGCTAATGTTTGAGGTCTCTGTGCTTCGGAAGAAGAATCCGCTCAGTGCTTTCCCCAGCGCAGTTGGATCATCTCAAGCATACGCCTTTCGAGGGAGTTCGCTCGCAGTCCGTAACATCGGCATCTTGTCGTCAGAGAAAATTGAGGTCTCTTTTGTCGAGGGCGGTCGGATATCGAGCTGCTGCAGGCGTGCCCTAAAAACGGAGGAAACACGGTGGACTGCCACCAGCCGTGGGACTAACGAATTACGCAGCACCCCACAACTCTTGCGCAGAAGAGTGACTAAGGCGGGCGCGGGTTGTGTCGCGGGTGAGTCGCGGGGTGGGTCGCGGGGTGGGGAGCGGGATGGGGCGCGGGGGGTTGGGTCGCGGGGGGGTTGCAGGTGAGGACGACGTCAACAGCAATCATGTAGATATTGTTTTTTTGTTCACAGATGGTCGCGTGTCATCCAAGATGTGTCTCCCGAACCCTCGATGCCCGCCCTCTTGTTTTTGGATCGAATATCGCGGCCGCTTTGGTCGGTATCTTCCCTCCCTTCAGCGCGTACTTGGCGGAGCTTCTTTGACACCGGAAGCACGGAAAGAAGGTCGAGGGAGAGATCGAGGAGGAAGGGCGTGGAAGAAGGAAGGGAGGAGGCAAGGGGGGCAAGAGCGGGGGAGGGGGAGGATGGAGGACGAGGGGGGCCAGCAAGGAGGTCCTGCGAGAGCGCGGGTATCCCGAGCAAAACGCACGAGGAGGTCCCGAGCAGGGGGGCCCGAGGCCAGAGCGCCGGCGGAGCGGTTGGCGAATGTGAATGGGCAGGAGGGTCCGTGCGAGCGCGCGATGCGTTGGTGAATTGCCAGGAGGTCCCTAGCTGGAGCGCGGTTATTCAATACGTATATATATACATCTATATATATATATATATATATATATACACTCCAGATTTCGTAATAAAAGGGAGGGGGTCTGGACCCCTCAAGACAAGCCATTGCAGACCCCCCCCGTGGGAGAACCCTCCAAAACATCGTCCCCAGACCCCCCCAGGCCCTCCAAGATAGCCTGGAAGAGACCCCCCCCCCGAAATGAGACCCCCCT